GGTGGCCATATCCCACTCCTCCCTCGCCCCAACATCCCTTGTATTCTTACTCTTCCAAGTGACCCAGGGAAACCTAAGCTCTGCCCAGGGTCTTTCTACCCAGTCAAACAAACAAACAATAAATAAATAAATAACTGCACTAACTCGATGGAAAATGAACAAAGAGCTCATCCCCAGACTGGCTGAAAGACACTCCATTTGCACAGCAGGAGGGACGGTGAGGCCACACAGGGAAGACCTCGCCTCGGGCAGCCCAAGAAGGATGTGGCACAAGTACAAGAACCCAGGAGTCTCAGATCTGCAGGCGCCCAGGAGCTACACAGGCGAAGTCCTGCTGTGGCAAAGACTGCAACGTGAACATTCCAAAGGCAGGAATCAGCCCGAAGGCCAAAGTGTCCCTTCCGTGATGTGTAATTTAATTCTAACGCAGTAAAAGATGCCTTCACGAACATGCTAGGATACAGAATGCGGCCATGCCTCTAGGACTTTGTTTTACCCCTCTGGATTCTGTCACTGTTAAGATTCTCTCCCCAGCAATAGGAAATTACATTTCCGTCCATTTTTAACCCCATTCATTTGTGACCTATCAGGCCTTATTTGTATGTAAGATATACAAATCACCACCCAAAATTCTCCAAACCTGAAGTCCAAGAAGACACTGTTTTTTTCCAACTACAGACCTTAGTACGGCCTCAATTTTTTTTTTTTTCCCTTTCCTTCTATCCTCTACCTCTTATCCTAGAAACCTTCAATCTCACTGGCAAATGAGTTTGGAATGTAAGATGGAAGTCTGGAAAATGCTGGGTTTCTTCTATGTATGGTGCTCTCTTCCAGAGACAGACATGCTCTATTTGGGATTTATTATTAAATCCCAAACCTATCAACCAGCCAAAGTCCTCTAACTCATAGGCCTGGTGGGCAGAGAGCTTGCAAAAGCTTACACTGGTAACATGTTTGGTCAAGCAAATTTTTCCTTCCTCTCATCGCTGGACCTGAAAGAAATACCCTGGTCAATAATGCCCTGGAGAGAAACCACCTTCTGCACACAAGTCGGGATGCAGGAATGGCACAGCACTGCGCTGGCTGCATTGCGCATCTGCAAACATGAAAACCAATGTAACAACTCGGTGTTGAAGGCAAGGCCTACAGCACTGCTAATGTCCCCTTGCTGGACATACACCTTAAGTCTCAGAGCTCCCAAGGGGTTTGCTGTAGAATAAAATGAGATTCCAACATCTGCCACCATTAAGGAAAAAATTCCATTTCCATCTCCCAGATGAAAACACTATAACCAATGAACAGTAACTGAACCTTGATACCGTAATGGTTATTACCCAAATCAACTATTTTTTTTAAACAGTAAAATTAGCGATTTCTGCTCTCATAATTATTTGAATGTTATCAGACTAAATGTTTGATAAAATTCCAATATGATTCACTTGGAAAAACTGCTGCTTATTTGAATACCCAGCATATAAAGTGTATTCATTTGTAGCTATTCACATTATGTTTAAAGCATATCATCTTTTTAAAGTTTGCATTAGTCTGCTTTCCTACCCAAGCACAAAAAGTAGCCTACCTTTGGTTTTCACTTGCATATTTTATTCAGACATTTCTATTAGAGTTAAAAACAATCTCATTTCTATTACTCATCGAAGAGGAGAGATCCTATCATACATGTGAAATGGTGGAATCCACAGTGTTGGTTCTTTTTACTGAAAATACCTTGTGCATTAGTCACTGCACAGCACAGCTGCCCTGCGTCTGGCTCTGTGACATTCTAGAACGGAAGTTAACTTTGAAGTAATCACGGTCCCTGCCATTCAAGGCACCTACCTAAAGTGTTTCCTTCTGCAAGTGAGAGGAATTTAAAACACAACAACAGATAAATCAGTCAGTCTGCATGGCGCCTCTTGCTTGGCACATACAAAGCTCTCCGTGTGGATATGGTACTATCTGATTTAAGCCTTTCTGCATACATTATGGCAGGTGACCTCAAATATTAGATTCAAAAAGGTGAAATAACTTCCTAGTATCAAAGCGCCCACGTCACTGCCCCAAACCACAGCCTCCTTATGGGGAACTTTCAGCCTTCCCCACCCTTTCCCTCACCAGGAATGAAAAAGTCCTGATATCTCAGGTAGCGAGGCACATGTGTCCCATGAATGTGGTACTCAAGACCTGAAAGCCACCCCCCACTCCACACTGGACTATCGATTAGTCCAATGTCCCCGAGTCCTCTTTCCTGAAGCAAAATGTAAGATCAGTGCTGCCTGGGCCTGAAAGGACAATGGAACAGTCAGAGAGGTGCTGAGGTCCCTCTGTATGAACCAAGGAGATCAACTTCCAGGTGACTCTGAGGAGTGCAGACACAACAGGCTGCAGGGCGGGGTGCAGCACAAAGGTGATGCTGTGAAGAAGGGCAAGATGGGGCAGAGCAGACAAAGACAGCTGCGGGGCCACAGGAGCCATGCTGTGTTCCCACTTCACACACCCGTCACGGGGTGGGGGGCTTCTGCCTCATTCTGCAGAGCCTTGCCATTTATTTTGAAGGCATAAATAACTCCTGCATAAGAACTTTGACCATGAAAAAGGGTTAGTCTGATTTGAAGAACTTGCTTCTGGGGTTTTGGTTATTTTTTGCTGGTTTTTGTCTCCTTCACAAACACCATGGTGAGAGCAGAACTCAGTAAGTGAGCGCTTTTCACTCTCATGGACGCAACAGCTTATGGGTGGTTTTCTGTTTAAGGGCTCACAAATCTTTCCCATAGATAGGGCAGTGCAAAGATCTAAACTGAACAACCTACCCAAAATCTACAGCAGTGTGTGCCAGGAAGCTGTGTTCAATGAGCAGTCAGGAAGAACTATCTGAGGGATGGCAGTTAATAGCCTTTCAGACCCTTGGATTCTCTCGCAACCTATAAGGAGGGGATTAAGGGAGAGCTTTGGGGTCTGACCCACACAGCTGCCAATGGCTACAGCTGAAGGCTTGTGGGGAATCTTGTAGGATAGTGGTACAAAGCGCAAGGACGTTCAAAACCCCTGGACTGCCACTCGCATGACATTATCCACCAACGACTGACACCTTCTGTATTCCAAAGTCGTTCACTCAGTCATGGGGGGTGAACTTGGGATCAGAAATAAAAGAAAGAAGGAGGCAGACCGCAGATAGGGGCCCCTAACCCTAAGGAGCCATGCTGTCGCCAGAAAGGAAATGGGACTGACAGAAGGGGAGTTGACTGACTTCAGTGACAGATGACAAGCAACTAAATGACAGTGCGAAGTTTTAATAGTTACTTGGTTTTAATGACAATTAACACATGTCTAGTTTCTCTGTTTAACTGTTGTGGAGATCTGGGGAAAGTGTTTGGCGCTTGCAAGAATATAATCTGTTATCATTTAATTGGACAGGTCAGAAGAGGTGCAGGATCAGAAAGAAAGGCAAGATGTTATGTGTTTAAATATGAGCTCCTCCTCATAATTAGCGCAACTAGCCAAAACAAGGAGGTGTGGGCAGGTGGGGGAGGGGCAAAGGGAGACCAGGACATTTCTCCTTAATGCATAGTCTTGGCATGTAAATGAAGACATCTGAAGAAGCACACAGGTTTGAAGCGGCTCTAACATTCTATCATAATTAGAAACATTTCAAGAGCCCTGTAATTTCCAATCAAAATTACAGTAATTTCCGATATACAAGCCATGATTCATGACAGAATTTTACATTCCATGAGAGATTACAGTGGCCTGATGTATGACACGCTGAGTACAGCACTAACATAAACAATTCAGTTTAATGTTTAAACAGCACTTGATGTTTAGAATCTCACAATAAAAGAAACATATTATTGTAGAAATTATCACTTTGACAGTGATTGAAGGGTAGCAGGCATGTGGCCTATAAAGCTATAATTTTTACAGTCCACAGCTTGAGTTTAATCATTTTGATATAACATTTCCAAGATATCCCTGAAGTATTTCATCCAGCCTATAACTTAAACAAGAACAACCTTTTCTAAAGCAAAATGCCCGTCAAGTGCTACTACTAATGGCAATAAAGTAAAAGTTTAGGAAAAGATAACAGAAATGTGTTGTGGTGTAAATATTTCCAAATTGAATTGTTTACTAGATATGAGAGGAGGATTCATTAATGACAATGCAAATATATGTTAAAAACTCCAAGTCATTAAAATCTCACCTGAGTCCATGATGCCTCCTACTCTTAACTGGACAACATTAGCAAATCATCTCATCAGGGAAAACAGTTTTGCATTCGTCTGGTGTTTTGGCAGAAGTGTCCGTGGCTTTGCACAAGGCTTTATAGATAGTTGAGTTTTTCATATAGATGAGCCCTACTTGTGATCAGCATCAATTACCAATATGTGACAGTCATACTTATAAAAGACTGCCTCATCTATCCTTTATTGTTTTCATCTTGTTTTGCGGGAATTTATAATTTTTCCAGTTCAATTCAATTCATTTGTAATTCACCAGACTTTGGCAAGTTTTCGAGCTGTAATTCAATTTGTGTCATACATTTAAAGGAACATCAATTACAAGCAAAGATATGGGTGCCTCGGTTTGTTTCAATAAGTGCACCGAGTAGCGATGGATGCCCACGTAGAACACAAGGCATGGCGGAATGCCTACAATTTTAGGCTGGAAATCCAGGCAATCTAACAGTGATTCAAGTCAGTTGCTCCACAATAGGCCAGATTGAGAAGCTGCCTCTATATTATGATGGTCTTGTGAAAACAATTTATAAACTGACTCAGGAATTGACTGAGAAATCCTTGGTCTGGAGAGCGGGTGCTGGACAAAACAAACCCAAGAATCTGCTTCCTGAATCTGAACTCTATGTTTCGTCACAAGGCTCTGTAAATAATCCCAGAGATTGTGACCTCTCCGTAATGGGAGTGCACGTTGAAAAGAGATACCTCTTTTAATGAAATTCTCATAGGCTTCACAGACAAACATTCTCAGTATCTAATAGAGGCTCTTACCTGGCTTTTGGTCGCTGCAACCTTTGCAAACAGTGCTTGGGACACTTTAGCGCGCTTCATTTCCTGCTGAATCTCATCATAAATGGAAGCATTAATGTTCATCGTATTGTTCTCTGGTTTCCCATTCCTCTCAGTGGCAATAGTAGCTGTTTTCACCTACAAAACATTGTGAACATGGCTGTCATTTTTCATTGGCTAAATTGTTTTGAAGCTTCTCAGGCTCAGCGTCCAAACTGGACATTGTTGCTCCTTTTATGATCAAGGTGACCAACAGCACAGTCGTTGCACGTGAGTTATTACCCCGAGATCAGATTGCTCAACTTAAGGAAGTCACGTTGTCATAGGTGAATGCCTCTATAATATGACAGCAACTGCCAGCTAACATCCATGAATTATAATGACATAAAGTAAGTTTTCTGGAAAAAAGAATAGTTTCAAAGACTTGAAAACCCTAACCTAATTGTTTCCCAATTACCTTCCATTGCAATTCTAACAAAGGAAATTCACAATTAAAATCATAATGCACAGTGCTGAATCTTCCTGGGTGCTGGTACCTAATAGACAATTGCATCACTAATAGCTATTACATACTATGGCCTTTTTAATTTTAGACTTTTTTTAGTGCCTTTTCCTCTTATGTTTCATTTTTAAAATCTTCCATAACAAAGCCATTTGCAGATCTGCATATTTAAATCTTCTATCCATCCATGAAACAGGTACAGTGCCTTGCTTAATTATCATAAAGGCTGGTTGCATTTTACACGTGCATGTCCAAGCTGTTCTGTATAATTATTTCATCTTTTTCTGGCACCCCTGTATATAACTAGTTCCTTTTGACTTGTGGAACCCTCGAGTAAGAAAATGGCTCACAATATTTAACAGAACATCAGTGTAAGTGACATCGAATGTACAGTCGTGACTTTACAGCTATACCTACACTATGTAATGGTGAGTGAAAAATTAGTAATAATTCCTTTGATAAATAATGATCATCATGTGCCAGCAGGAAAGTATCACAGAATTTTAGGGATAAAATATCACCTCAAACTCAAGATTTAGTGACCATATTATTAATCGTGAAAATCTCAAATTTAATTTGTATTATGCAATTATATGAACCAATCTGGAAAATGAGCATATGAACGATATAGTTGTTTTCTTACTAGGAAAAAGGTGAAATGGAAATGGAAAGATATCCCAGATGCAGGACTGTGTCTTTCAGCAACATCATTTTAAGGACAGCATTTTATGCCAGGTTTCTGTTCTCTAGAAAAATTACCACTTTGAATAACTTCTCATACATACTATGAACAAAAAAGAGTAATACGTACTCTGGGATAAATGAAAGATTTTGGGGGCCACAAAATGATATACCGCATCCTAATCGTACTGCAAGTCACTCAGATGTATTACCCTCTGCTCCCAAATAGTCAGTGTCAAAAATGGGGCAGCAGTTAACTGTTCAACTCTCTGCTCTTTTGAGAGCCAAGGAGTTTCCTGTGAAGCTGGCCTTCAGAACCCTAACTTGAGCCACTTGGCAAAACAACATCCCTGCCTCTTGCTTATCTTGGAGAGGCAGCGAGATTCTCCTGTCCTGACAGCACCTTCTGAGCACGGAAAGGACAATGTAAAATGACCAGACTACAGGCCTCACGTAAGGACACAGACAATGGCTCTTAGGATGGAGACCGACTGGTGGGGCTCCTCCCCTGAACTGGAAGCCTGAGCTAGGGTTATGGGGGTGGGCTGACTCCCTTTCTGGGACTCTGTATGCAAGGACACTCACAGAGGTACATTAAGGACTGGAGGCCACGAAGAATGTGCATGGGGCTTTGAAGCAATAATCTGCTAAACACTGCTTTAGGAGCCAGAAGAGTTAACGCATTACCATAAATTGCCTACAAAGTTGCTTTGGTGAGCTTCGCAACTTTGCTCTGGGGTGGTCTTGCTTTGAGGCAGAAGGATAGATTTGATCACCCCATGGGGTCCCTTTTAATACCTATTTTTCTCACTGCTTAAATGAAAGAGAAAAGAAAAGCCATTTCAAGCACTTTGAAAATTGAATGTTATGGAAATGGAAGCATTCGAAGTCCAGCACACTGGAAGGGGCAATTCTTTGGTAGCAAACTGCTTAGCTGTAGGCAGGGGTGCAGGCTTTGGAATCTTGGGATTTCGGTGTGTTTTAAAAATAATTTCATTCTTTTGCAAAAATTTTGAGAATTTATCCTTGAGGTGGGCTGTAATCATTTGTTTCAACCCTGTGATTTTGTTTCTAAAAATTTCCTTGGTAATTTTTTTTTTCTAATGAAGCAATTACAACTTGAACAAAAACAAGAATTTAAAATTTCCCCCCCAAATCAAGTGTCATTTCCTAGTAGCCAACACAATCCAAGTAGGACGGAGGGGGAAAAAGTCACAAACATTAAAAAGAAAAGAAAGTAGAAGTGAGCAAATTTTTAAAACACAAAGTAAGAAACTGTATTACCCATTTAAAAAATCTTTTGAGACGCTCCCCTTTATCATCTTGTTGGCTGGGATGTGCATCTTACCATAGATTAGCTATTAGAATTCTGGAATCACATTTTTTTCCTAAAGACAAGCTATCGCTTAAGGGGAACTGACTTGGACAGCTTTTCAAAACTATGAAAGCTGAATTTTTCCCCAGGTAAAAATGGAAACAAAAATCTTTTATACCTCACTCTACTAAGTACTATTTTAGCTTAGTACAAAAAAATCTTCTTTAATCCTGGTTTAGCTTTTAATATTATATCACACATTAAAATTCATAAAGTAGTTCATTCCAGGCAAAACAAACTACACTTCAGCTCTTCTCCGCAAATAGCACAGGAGGTAAAATAAATGCAGTTGCTTTCTGAATAGCTTTTATCAAGGTAGGGTGTACTACTCCATCATTACGGCGGCGCCGGGAAGTAGTTAAGAACGGGAGCTTCTACTGTTTACCCTCAGATGGGGACTAGGGTTCAAGCAGTAAGGTCTGCTTTTTATTTCACTAAAACTGAGCAATGGGACAGAAATTTTCCATGAAATTTCGGTTTTGTTCCATCACGGGCTGCCGAGTGTTCGGTGTTCTCCATACGTGCTGCACACTACAGACACTACACAAGGTGAACCCTGCTGCGTTCCTGCTTGTGAAGGGGCCTTTCCCTGAGGCAGGGGCAACTGAGTGCCAGTCACAGAGCAGACGCCCTGCATGCACACCCACAACTAAAGTGTAACGCAGTGCTAATCATACAAGGCTGACGGGTATTAGATGTTTATTAAGCTTCCGCATCGTGTTAATGTGCGTCAACTCTAACCTGCTCCGCAGCCCTGACTGGGTACTATTACTGCCCCATTTTCAAACTGAGACAATGCTCTTACACAAAGAGGTTAAATAATTTATCCATGGGGCAAGGCTGAGATCTGAAGGAAAGTGTCTGTGGCAGTCATTCTGACCTTAGCAAACTTAGGGCATGAGGCCTCAGGGGCCTTTTTTCCTTTGGAACCAGCCTTATTTTTAAGACTCGCTGGGCCTGCTGTTGGGGGGCACTTCCCTAAACCTCGTTCATTAATGTCTAATTTTTAGTAGTGAATGACTTTGCCATTACTTTTATAAATCCACCCTGAATCTATTTTTCAAGGTATGCAACTATAAATATTTTGTTAGTAATGGTAAGTAAGCAATGTATGACTCTGAGGCATTTTTACCGGTGATGGAAAATAGTCCCCATGCTCGTATCTTCCTGTATTAATACTGTCTTGAGGATCATGATGCTATCTGGATGCTTTCCTTCTTTTTTGAAGGAACAATATTGTTTTCCAAATCTGGACTTTTTAAAAGTCCTCGAGCTTTTTAAAGATGACTTAATGGGAAGCATCTTATAAGCGCCCTTTAAGCAGGATCACTTAACGTTCATAAAGGGATCCATAACAAATAAAACTTTTATCAAGTGTTAAGTCCCTGCCCTTACTGAACTTACATTTCATTATCTCATAGAAGAACTTGCTGTAAGGAGACAGAGGGCAGAGCTCCAGATTAAATTAATTATACATTGCTTCTATACACATCATATACTGGCTAAAGCATTCTTATAAAATACCGTACCTTACTTTAGAAGAAAACAAAGTTATACATAAAGAAATGATGATAGAGAAAAGTGTGTAAAATTCATATAAAAGTTATAACTTGATAATTAAAAGCCTTCAAACTTTATGAAAATAAAAACTTCTTGCTAATTTGACTCCAAAAGTCATACATTTTAACAAACACAAAATAAAATCAGAATTAGCATGTGCCTATGTAGAAATCATTACTAAAACTGATCTGACTTAGGAAACAGAAAATAACCATTAGTCCATTAGTTATTACCAACAAATTTCTCTCATAAACTTATTTGGGGATGTCCCTCAACATAGTTTAGGAGAGACCTTTAAGATCAAGGAGCTTTGTAGGGATTCGGTTCTCTTAGATACTTTCCATCTGAATAAAGTTTAGATAAGGTTATTTTTCTCTAGTCTCAGAACTGCCAGTTGTCCACAGCCTTTCAAAGCAGATCCTTTGTCAAACATCTGATGTGTCCCATCAGGACACTCTTCTGTGTTCCTCCTCCTAAGCTGACACTAAAACGGTTCATTTTCTGTGGTAAGCACAGAAAGTTGCATTTCACTCCCCCTTTTCTAAATTTTTTCATTTGTGTTTTGAGGAGGTGGTCTGAGATAGGGAGAAAAGCAAGGAGAGACTTGCTTTTGACTAACTCTTAAATGTAGTGTTCTCATTTTTTTTCTTACAAAGAACGTGGGTAAGAGGAGTCAATGAATTAAGTACATGAAGGTGCTTAGAAAACTGTGAACCATTATCTGCAAAGCATTGTCTATCCCTTCCGTTGGAGTATGTTGTGTTGTGGCAATCCGCTTTCAGCACACAGCTTCTACCCAGAGCCTAGTGTCCCACCTGGAAGACCACGTTCTGCTGCTGGTGGGTCCTTGCTGAAGTGCTGGGGGGTGGGGGTGACAAACCCAGGAATTCCCCATTTGAAGAGGATTATAATCTGGGCCCCTCCTTCCTTTAGGTACCAGGTCTCAGATTACCCAGGGACTAGGGAAAACATCCTTCCAATGGCCTGAACAATCCTGGAAAGTAAATGAACTTTCCAGTCTCTCAGGCCCAAGTAAGCTGTGCTGGGAGCTCCTGAGAGTGCTCCCTGAAATTACAGTGCACTAGAAAGAAACTTGGGGCCCCAGCCCCAAGACCTGGCTCTAAGTACATTGCAAATCTCTTCATTCTCGGGGAAATGAATGAAATGTATAGTGATTTCATATCGGTTCCTCTCTGCTGAAATCTAAACTTCAGAAAGATGAAATTCTGCAGTCTTTCTATCTCTGTGCTTCATCCTTTTATCCTCCTTCCCTTTAGTCATCTGTAATAAGCATATTAAAACCTTACAGATGGTAGATGGGTTCCAATTTAAGCTTTTGTTTTCAACCACTGCAAAATTCAACTCTATCACATTTTTCCAAATCTAGAGTTGTGATTTTACACTGATAATACTTTAACACTTGAAGCATTTCTTAAAATTCATTGAATCACTGTCAAGTGGTAAAGTGGGCACAGAGTAGTTGTGAGTCTTACATAATAATATTAACTAACACAGGGATTCTCAGTGAGGCAAAAAGATGCCTTACAGATTTGTATTGCAGCAGTGAAATAAAATTATACATACATATCGGATAATTATTTTTGGAATTTTGTGAGATGGACAACAATATTACATTAATAGAAACAACTTTTTTCTTTGAATTTGCTAAGCATCCACAGTGCCCATCTATTTTATATGTTTGTCATTGGCTGAATATCCCAGCAAAGGCCTTGGTCTTAACCCCTCTTGAGAACAAATAAATACAGTAAAGAGTGTCTTAGCCAGTTAATCAATAATTCATGACAAAGTAAATTACATTTTCTGTCCAAGCTTCTTGGTATATAGTCTTTACACATATGTATGTGTGTATACATATATATGTATATGTATGTATGTATATGCATATATGTGTACATGTGTGTATATGTGTGTATATATATATAATCTATGAAAGCTATCCAAGAGTATCTTAATGGTATATGAAAAGAAATATCACTTAAGAATTAATGTAACTTTGGCTAATGAAAAAATGTGATAGAAAGATAGAGTTAAGGTTGAATAACAAATAAAAGCATTAAAAAACTGGAAAAAAAACCAGAAAACAAAAGCTGTATTTTAAAAAACCACGAAGTCAAATATTTGGACAGATTAGAGGCAGCAACAACTCACTGCTGAGGTTCATAATATCTTAAGTAAGTCTTAAGTCTTCCTTTTGTTAATATAGCAGATTAAGTGATAAGTACAATTCTCTACCCAGAGAACTTGCAGTGATCATTAAGTAGCAAAGTTAACTAAGATGTGTGTATTAACTCTAAGCACTGCGAACTAAGTGCTAAACTGAGTTCAAAGTTCAAGAGTTTTTAAACCACTCTTCCAAAAGTCATACACAGAGAACTCCTTATTCTTTTTTTAAAAGTATTTCACGGAAGGCTTTACTCAGCATTTGTGTGTGATGGTGGATGTAGATCACACATGGACACCATTCTTATTCCCAATTACAGCAATGACGTTCTTAGAGTCTGCTCCAAGACCAAATTGATTTTCATTACATCAAATGGAGAAAATGAATTGCTATGATTTTTTTTTAATTTGTCATTTCAAAATAATATGCAGATTAAGACCCTCAGCAAGTGTCTGAATATTCTATATGCTTTATTTATGGGTTGTCTATAGCAGTTTCATTTGATTGTTGATTGAGCATTTTCTATATTTCTGTATGATTATTTTTTACTATTAAGCAGAAGAAATGAACATCAAGATATAATTTCATTTTGAGATTTCTTTCAATTTGTACTCTATATTCATATTCAACTCTTACTCAGTTTCAGTTGCCCCTTTTTAAAGAATTTTCATGAGCCACAAATTAAATGTATGAGACAATATATACTTGTTTGTGGCTTTTGCCACTATTATCAACCTTTTATCTAACAGCTTGTACTGAAAATTAATTTCTTGAATTCTCCAAAGCATAAAGCAACCTTTTAAACTTGATTTTAAAAATAACACAATACAGATAGACATCCACAAAGATACCTATGAGGTGACTAATGGCCCTCCTAAAAACAGGGCAAATATTTTGGAAATTGAGAATGTGCCCATTTCGGGGAATATGGCTCGAATTCCTTATCAGTCCCACTTAAAGCCGCCTTCAAGGATTATATTAAACTTAATTATGAAAGATTACAAACGAGACGATATGTAATTGGTAGCAGCTGCAGTTCGTATTGGAAAGCATAAATACAAATGGGATTATTTATTTATTTTAATTTTTTACGATTCAAATGGTGGTTCTAAAATTCCGAGAGCTAAAACTGACTTTATTACATTTTTTTCCTCTTGAGTTTAAAATAGTTCTTTACTTAGTAGTAGAGACCACCACCTCATTTAAAGGCAGCTTATCACCCAGACCGCTTATCACCCACAGAGAAACCCCAAAATGAAACAACACATAGCCATTTTCTTTCCTGTATCTAATTAGTAGCTTAATGCTTTTGTATTAGAATTAGAGATTTGAGACCCACTTCTCTATCTAACTCCATTAATCATTATTTCTTCAAAACATCTATCTTCATCCATCTAAACTTTCTAATTTCTTGTTGTGATTCTTCTTCAGACATGCAAACCTAAGAAGCACACCGAAGGCAAGTGAGGGGGAGGAGACTTCACCTGTGGGGGGCGGCTGGGGGGTGTGCTTATCAGAGGCGCAGGACCCATGGCCGAGGCAGCGTTCAAGCTCCTTTCCCTTTCGTCCTGGTAAATTCGATCTCTTTCGGCTTCTGGTAACTGCAAGAAATTCTGCATAGCCCGAAGGTTTACCAGCAAAGACTGTGAGGCAGTCTTGGGGTCTTCTTCCTTTCGGAGGATTTCTGAAAGCAAGCCCTGCAGGGAGGCAAAGACACAGGGTGAGTTAGCTCCCTGAGCTCCACCCAGTCAGCACAGATTTTGGCCTTTTCTTCTCCACCAGCTTTAGAAAAAGAAGAGTCAGAAGCATTGACTCTACCGGACAGGAATATATTAGTTACTATTGAAGTTACTGTTGAAGTGGTAGAGAAGTAAGGCTCAATTGTATTCTTAATTTTATTAAGCATCTGCTTTACATAGAACATAAACTGAAACTGCCTAATTGGCCTCCTTTCTTGGAGTGGCTCAACTTGCCACACAATCTTTTAGGAGAGATGATGGAGGCAAGTTAAGAATAAATGAAATGTTCCTTGTCTTAAAGTGCTGAATTGTGTAGTTTGCAGGCTGCCTAGACAGAGAGATAGATGTAAATAAACAAAACCATACTGAAAGATGTAGCAGAACTTTCCAAGAGAAGAACAGAAAATGACTTGCAACAAATGAGAAAAAGAATATCACTAAAGCAATGTCTGTGGTTAATACCATCCTCATAAACATTTTAAATTATTCCATAGATTTTCAAATCTTTATAGTCAATGACACCAAATGACCTTTTTCAATGATCAGTTAAGGAAACTATCGTGAATACTCTCCCTTCCACCCCCTCCCCCCATTATTCTAAATCCAATCTTGCCCCTGGTACATATCACACCAAAATTTTCAACTTCAGAGACCACAGATTAAACTGGAAATACAGAACTTTTTTTCTACATGGTAAAAATCCATCCTTACATGCCAAGCAAAGGAATGTTGTCAAGTTCAATAATAAACAAATTACTTGAGAAATAAAAATCTGTATTAGTAACAGAAGGAATTCATAAACCATTAGTAAAACCCTAGTGAGCATTTTACTCTCAAATTGTCAACTACTTTTTTTTGACTTGTGGAGGAACTCTCTCGAAAATGGCTGGTTTGTCTAATGTTTCCATGATGATATGAATGACAAACACTAGAAAAAATGTTGACCATTGGTAAGGGCTGAAGAGCGCCTGCCTCTTCAATCTTGTCTATGATTTGGGGTATCAAGACATGCTCATTTTCATCAGTTAGTGAGACTGTCACTTTATCACAATATAGCTCAGAACACAGTTTTGTCAGGCTTTGATATAACTTGCAAATTTCACTTTCGAATGAGCCTGCAAATGTGGTAGTACTTTTGCAGAAGGGAAATGTCCTATCAAAATAACTGAGCTCCAAAGTTGTAACATTTAGGTTTTTTCATAATTCTCTGGAAGTGCCAACCTAGTTCCCAATTCCTCAGGATAACGTAAAAGGCACTGCTCATGTTAAGATGATTTATGAAAAAATCGTCTACTATTAAAAAGAACCTCCAACAGACTCACTGGGCCTAAATGTACATTTTAGAGTCTTTCTTGATTCATTGCAACATTGCAAAGTATTGAACCCAAACTTCTGGTTTCACCCTAAGAAACATGACTGAGGAATTGAAGGCTCGTGGAACTGTGTTTATACAAGAGCAAACATCTAGGCAATTTAACTAAAATTCACTGAAACAGATAGTCAATCATCCATCAATTTAATTTGCACAAGGCCAGCTAATTAGATTGACTGTTTTTGATGTGTCACATCACAAACAAAAATTCAGGTCTCAAAAAAAAAAAAAAAGGGTTGAAAATGGTTGCAAAAAATTAGTCCTTGGTCTCCACTCCTCCCCACCAAATGTTATGTATTAAAAGATGTGCTTGGCAAGCAACATATTTATTTATACAAAACTAGATAGTAACATACATAAATGCAATGATACACATTTCTTGTGTACAGTCATCATTCATTGGTCAACCCAACACAATGACTACCACATAAATGCTTGATTAATATTTACTAAACAGATTAATTCTATTCCACAAAAAACTATATAGGAAAAGACACAAAGAAAAAAAACTGCATTGTGGGTGATAAGAACCTAGAGCAAGATATACTCCCACATGAAAGTTCTTATGATTAACATTAATATGAGGTGAGCCTTCAATACAAATTTTTGAGGTATCCTGTAAGATATTTATTGACACCAATTACTCAATAATTTAAATATACACATATAGATTAGATCAAAAGAGGTCTTACAGATGGGATGCTATTGTATTTGGGAAATTCGAACTGAGTCTCATATATATCTCAAATGACTTATCTACTTCTGCTTCTATGTTTCCTGAGACAGCAGAGCACAATAATGAGAAAAGCAAACATAAGAAAAAACATAGTCTAATGGACTTTAACAAGTCTTGCTAGCATGCAATTAAGTGATTCCTGTGTGCTTCAAGTAGAAGACATCAGGTTACTTGGGAGAGAACGTAGAAATTTCTCTACAAGTATTTTGATGCTGGCACAGTGTCCCATTTGAGTATACGAAGTACATTAGGGACAAAGCATGTTATTTCCACTTATTTATTACAGCGGAGCCAGTGCAGTTTTTCCACCTGGAATATGTTGAAGGACTCAAAGGGTATTTCAAAGGGCTCTTGGAGCCACTAAGAGCTCTAAGTAGCCAGTATAGACAGTCTCAGGCGCTTTAGAACCTTAGGGGGTTTTGTGCTTGGTTTTTTTTTTTTTTTTTTTTTTTTTTGGCTCAAGCTTTCAATGAGGGGAGTGCCCCCTGGTGGAAAGCTTGAAAATATTGTTAGAAAATGTTTTGATTAGAATGTGTTAATTACCAAAAAAAAAAAAAAATGTCACTGGAGAATAATTCTGGATACAAAATGACTGCAGTTAGAACCAGATATGGCAATGTGTGTGTTGGTCCTGTTCAGGTGGTCATTGCTTGAGTACTGCATTTATGGATTTAAGGTCTTCCTGGTCGTTTTCCCATTTCCTATAATCGAAAATACAATTCAGACTTGCCAAGTTATTTGTAGGTCAAGGTTATTTGTAGTAATCTCCCCTGGTGGATAAAAGGAGAAATTTCTCACCAAAAATATCTTCCCCCTATGAAAATAATATATCAAAATCATCAAGTCCCTGACTTGCTATCTCACAGATGTTGAAAGTCCAGGACTAAAACCCATCATCATTATTGGGGAACAGAGGTATTCAAATCAATTGTTTGACTAAAATTCAACAAAATATTAGTCATTCTTGGTTCTGAGAAGAAGAATCTGTTTGTTGTAGGTAGTAAGTTACCAGCACCTCATAAATACTCAATGTACTGGAAATGAGAAGCCATTTTCCTTAAGACTTCCCATCCTCAAGTAATTGGCCATGTATTATGAAAACATTCGCACTGTTGTGATAGCGGTTAAAGGGAGAGTTGTCATTTTTTCAATTAGAGAGTGAACTGACTGATGAATTCCTAAACCTTTTTTACATTCCAGAAAGAGTTTACAAGTCATTACAAGTAAAATTCATTAGTAATTGTATAAGGAAGAAGAAAACCTTCAATAAATATTATCAGTACTTCCAAAAGCTAATTACGAATTCTTTAAGACAGCAGATAAGCGGAAGAGACTGCCAATTGGAACAAAAAGCCTGTCTGGCCTCCCCTTTGCCTCCTCTTTGAACATAATCACTGATTCAAACAGATTTTCCAGCTTCATGGAACTTCAAAGCCTTCAGAAGGAAAATATGATTTGATAAACCTTCCTCCTAAAAAGAAAATCCATAGAATGTCTTCTTCAGGTGTACCTGCCTCTGAGGTATGGTGAAGTTCTAGTCACAGGTCCAGGTGAAAGACCCTATACAAACCCCACCTACTACCATGGACTCCTGCCAAGTAAGTTATGAGCAGACACATTTATCTCTGTCGTTGGGGAGGCTCAAAGAAAGCTGTCGAGTGGAGGTAATAGCACCTTTTTAGCTTTTATTCAATAGCAATATGGATAGTGGACTTTTCTTAAATTACACTGTGAAGAATTATAGGAACACAGTAGCCATTTCTGTTATACTTAAGCAGGCAAATTTCTCTCCACCACATAATTTACAGAACTCAAATTCAATAAAACATTACATGATGGTCCATTACTGTTATCAGTTTTGAATAATCCATCTTCATTCTTTATTTTACTGGAAAATAAAGTGTGCCAAAGAAAAGGGGAGGCGGGGGAGAAAAAAGGGGGAAAGCCACAGAATGGGATCAGAGTTAAACTGGATTTGAGTTTTTTTCTAAGGCGCTAAAATACAGTTCTTCTATCACAACCTTTAAATGGAAAGAATACAGAAGTGAATTGAAAAGTATAAATCTAGAAGCTTCGGCAATTATTTTTAGCCATTGGTTTCCATTAAAAAGACATCAAGTAGGCATAACTGAATGAATGACATATGCTAAAAGCTGATATCTTCAATAGCAATTAAGGAACATATGCCCATCAATTCAGAAGGGGGAAAAGTCCTTAAAACAAGTAATTATATAAATTTCATCATAAATTTTCAGAAAAGGTAGAATTTAAAAATAGTCATGTGTGACAGTCTTGAGAGAAGAGTTTATTTTAATTTAGGAAACCCAATTAAGACGATGGGAAAATTCTCCAAATGAGAGTTAAAACATGACATCCAAGATTTTAAAGCTTTACAGAACTGTCAATGACTAAAAGATTCTCAACCCATAACAGTGTTATCTATTATATGAAGGTTTTAACATACTGTTTATAGGGCACCAGTCTTTATCTGATCATATAACTTTGCATTTATATGTACATATTTAACATTAATTTTTTAACTCCGAGTTGGAATTGCACATTGTAATAAGTGCACACAAATGTGTGATGTACGATTTAACTCTGCAGAGCTCGTCTATACATATGCATTAGCATGTGTATTTTCGTACTCCACACTCACACCATACACTCACTCTGCACCTGCTTTTATTGAAATGCATACACTTTGAAATAAACACACTACATGCATTCCTATGAATGTGTAATCATTAAAATAAATGCAGCTGTGTGCGTGTGCGTGCGTGCATGTGATTTTTAAGTATGACCACCAAAAATGCATGCGTGCTCGCATGTTCCCAAGCTAGTTCCCCCAAATACCGAACTATACACAAAAAATGACTCTTACTGAAACCCACATCGTTTCCAATATGTCCCAACTGAGAAGTATCAATTGCCAATATGTAGGTTTAAAACCCTCCCATCTATCACCCAGGATTCTAAACAATTTTTGTAATGACTTTTCCTCAACTGGCTATTAACAGAGATCAGCAGCAAGCTGTACCAGGCTTTCACTCTCCTCTCTCACTCAGAGAAATAAAGTCACTGTTTTTCTTATGTTAACCACAGAGATGACTATCTTTTCAGAAAAATCAGTATAGTGTAAAAAGAGAGAATTTGGCCTTTTTCCAGTAACAAGATCCTACAGATATTTGGGGGACTTGTCAGTGTGAGAACCAACGCACAACAAACAGTCAATGCTTCAGACTCTTCACCATAAACCAAGAGAAGAAAAACTGTAATGTTGGGAGGTGATTTCACCCCCTTACCTGCAGCTGAACCTCCTGTGGGACCGAGGGGTTCATTCCACACCCAATTATAACATACACTTTCTTTCTGCTCCAGAAAATAACAATTTGTTCAATTTTTAAAGCACTTATCCATTAATCTGTATGTCATCTGTGTCTACGTTAATGTTGATGTTGGGGGGCATTTAATTCAATTCAACCAGCACTTTACTGAACTTTCAAGTCTAATTTTCCCTCCAGGACTGAGACTTCCAAGAAGTTAGCTGCTATTTACAAAAATAAAGAATGCCACTGGACACAGAAACACCTAGACAATGGACTTCTTATTCATTCGTTTTATAAATAATTAACCCCTGAATGAACGTAGGTGCCATATTAAATGGACCACATCATAAAAAAAAAAAAAATTTAAGTTGTGCAATTATAGAACTACGTAGAACCATACCATTTTCATTTGCCACAAAGCCTTCTGATAATCACCCTTAAAAAAGCAGACAAATGATGTACCAAAAAAACAAAGATAAGGAAACTGAAAGCCATCTGAGTTAAAGGCTTTGTCAGGCCTCTTCTCTTGCAACCCAGTTAAGGCAAGCCAAGAAAAAGTCACAGCTGGGATTCTCCTAGGTATGGGAACTCTGCCAACAGGGAATTAATACTAGATTATTTTTGTACCACAAATTTATTCTTATAATCATGTAATAAACAAAGTAACTTAAATATGAAAGGAAAATATGAGTCAGGCCAAAAAATAATTGACAAAAGAAAGAGCACTGGTTAAAGAAAGTTGAAAGGACATAATGTCCTCATTCTAATCCAAGATAATGTCCTTTTGGGTGTTTTTATTTATTTTTTTTAAGTGTGACTGAACTAAAAATAAACACTGTGCATATTACACTAGCTCCAGAAAGACATTTAAAAGCAAAGCTCATCCACTCCTTCATGCATTCGTTAATCGGAGTCTCTCAAGTGTCTTCATCTTCAGCCTTATCCTAGCCTACGTCACCCTTGCTCCGACAGCCTCTCAACATCTTCCATGCTGATCAGGTCTTCCAGGAATGTGCACAGGACAAAGGTGTGCCCATAGAGGCACAGGCAGATCTCCTGGAGAAGTCTGCAAACCAAGACCAAACCTATCGGAAGGCCTGTTTTGGAAATACTTTTATTCAAACCCCACCGCACACCCACGTCCACTCGCTCATTACCACTGGCTGCTTAGCACTGCAATGGGACAAAGCTCCATGGCCCTCAAAGCTTAAAGTATTTACTCTCTGGCCTATTCCAGAAAACGGTTGCTGATTCTGGCTAGAAAATGAGGTTAGGAGAACATTAGCAGTGTGAGGAAGGAGAAGCCAGTGCTGAGAAAACTTTCAAGTGGTGGGGGACTGTGGGCACTCTGCTGGTGGGAAAGCCAAGGTGACCGCACCTGAGAGGAGAAATCCTATACTGTGAAAATGAAACTGAAAATGACTTAAAAAAAAATAAAGATTAAAAGTTGTTTTTTTTTTTTTGTAAAGAAACCTTTTATGTTAATAAGCCATTTTTTCCCCACTAAATGGCTGCTCAGAATTAAATGACAATAATTTCTATTGAGTCCCAAGATCGTTTTCTCTAATGCTAGAAAGTAAGTTAAATAGGGCATATTTATCTACGCTCAGTGATAGAGATGGAAACATGGACAGGACAACAGACTAGAAGGCTGCAGCGCTCCCAACCGCACGGACCAACTCAGGAAACTTTCTCAATCTGCTCCTACTGACCGTCTGTGACGGCATTATATAAAAGCACAGGTAATGCCAGTATGAAGTATTTGTGATATTTAATTTATTTCTTCAAGGCCCTGAACTGGGATGCACATATGTACTGCTTTCCCTTGTGAAGTGAGGTAGATGACAGGAAAAGATGTGATAAAATTTAGGCATCACTAGGAACAGACAATACGATCTACATAGCCCACCACACCTCTCTCCGACAGGATAAAATACCTGTGCTGAGTGAAAGAATGAACATTAGAAAAAGGGGGGGGGGAGGTTGAGGAGATGGGGTGGGTAGAGAGAAGGCGGCAGGGAGGGACCATTCACCAGTAATGCAACACTCACCTGAGTTCTGTTAAAAGCCACACGTGCAAATACTGCCTGGGAGATTCCTGCTCGTTTCAGTTCATCGCGTACCCACTGGTAGATTTCGGAAGACACCTCTGTGTTGGTTGACACCTGTTGCTCCAAAGGTTTATTCAGAGATCTACTGACAGGGGGAGGGTGGTTCAAGTATTGTTGGTTTAAGGACTGCTGGGCTAAAAGTCTGTTCACTGCATACTGCTGGTTGAGCAGCTGAGCCATCACTAGCTGCTGGTTGACCAACTGAGGGCTGATGGGCGTGGACACGAGCCCAGGGTGCAGGTTCGGAAGAGGGGTCCGGACAGAGGGCTGGCTGCCGTGAGAGAGCTGTGCGGGGGACGGGGGCTGCTCGGCTGTGTTCCCTGGGACCGGCTGCTGGCCAAAGTTGACGTGGTTGGCACCTTGCTGCGATAGTTCGGAAAGACTGTCCATTTCAACTGACACGGACAAAAATAAAATCATGTTAAGCAAAACAACAGGCATTGCTGCACTTTTCTAATCATTTCCAAAATAGTGATCGTAGGCACAGGCACATCCATAATCCCATTAAATTAAGACGATTTCAGAATGGAACTAAACCAGTTTTTTTTTTGTTTTTTTTTACTTTCTTCTTCTGTACAGTTCCACAAACTCTGAAAGAAGGACAGCACTTCTGATTAATGTTATAATGAGATTTTGATCGAAAACCTAAAATCAATTGTTTTCAAGCTCTAAGTGACTAGTGTTGGGGTCAAACTATCATTTAATCTGCTGTATTAATCCAAGAAGACTTAATGTTTATTTTAAAATTGCTTCGAGAGAATGAACCTGGTTTAATGGCAACTAGAAAAGACGGTGAGAACATCACCGTCAACTAGAGAAAAAGGAAGTAGCACAAGGACTGTCTCACGATACATAGAACGTCACTGCTGCCCTAGGCAAAAGGTGTGAGAGTGCAAAAGATGACATAAACATTACCCCCACATTCAGTTTTTACCTGTCAGTGGACATAAAAACGTAATCAGTATCATAAATAATGAAAGTGGTGATGATGCTAAGTAATAGTAATAGGTTGCATACTGAACATGTGCTGGGTGTCTTTAATTTTTTTTTGTAAGATTTCTTTCTTTACCCATACAGAACTGGGGTACAGGTCAGAGTTGTGGGGGTGAGAGGATTCACCAGAGACAGAGTGGGGAGCAGAACAGGCAGATATACTGGAAAACACTGCTGAGGGGGGCAGCAGGTGGGTCAGGAGAGATCTGCCGCGCCATGTGGGTCAGCTCCCTGGTCAGGGATTGAACTCGTGCTGCAGTGGCTGTGGTAGCTTTATAGTGCTGTGCTTTAACCTGCTGCACCACCAGGGAGGGCCCTGAGTGTCTTTAATTCTAACCACCACGGGACAGGTCTATCTGCAAATACTTCTCAGAATGAAGGAAGTGATTTATTGATTCAGAAGCCAGTATCCCCAGTCCTGTCGAGGCCCTAATGCTTCTTGAAGAAGCTAAGCTTATCACCAGATGCTAAAGTCAATCTTTCAAGGAAGGGGTGGAGAGCAGTTCTGGTACAATAGTGATGCTGTCGTGATGCTGCAATTTATTACCACCTAGCTGAGATGAGTGCTTCTCCCTTGGCTAGGTCTCCCATGTGCATTGGCTGAGAGGCAGTTTCTAAGTGTGTCAAATGCTTTGCTGCTGCAAGGAAGAGACTGGCTTGATACTCTTGACTGGAAAGCTGAGCACGGGGCTGTGTGCAAGTAGGTGGCCCTGTCCTCCAGGCACACCACACCTCTCACGGACTGACTCTCGCGTGATTTTAATCATTTCCCTTTTCATTCAATATTCTGGATTTACAGTTAGAGGAACTTATCATATTGCTATAACCACTTATATGTGCAAAATATAACTAAGGATTGGTAAGAAACCTTCCATTTCTACCAGTGATAGCAGCCCAAGTGGGCCATTCACAGAGAATAGTAATTCAAGCAATTATTCCAAAAATGATGCATTGTCTTCATTACGGCGCTAAGCTATAAAAGGCAAAGAATCTGTTTTGGTAGATGGATGGTTTTTCCTGAAATATTAAAAGCTAAAAACATGCTCAAAATTCAGGTTCTCTTGTCTCTTAAAATCTTTAGGAAAAGTTATTATTGTTGTTGTTACTAAATGAATGTAATGAAAGTAAACAGAAATAGATTTAAGAGAGGGCATAACGCTATGCATATTAAACATCCCATTCCTATACTACTTGGCAATGTATTATTTGGAAGGTACAAACATGTGAAAGAAAACATTAATAGAAACTGAAACATCAGCCTTAACCACAGCATTTGTTTTTGTGAGCAGTAACAACTGATGAAGAGAAAATGCCAGCCCCTAAGTGCCTAAGTGCAACGAGCAACAGCTCCCTTTCCCTCCACACTGCAGATGACCTTCATGTTTCTTGTGAGGCAAACACTGATCCAAAGTTACATGTTAAGATAGGGTGAGCGACTGGAACTAGAACTTTGGAAATGACATGATGATTTTCCTGGTATGGATGGCTGGTCCAGCAGATAGCTCACACATGGCCCATCCAGAGGACAACGATGTGAGCTCTAAAAATTGTTTGATCTCAACTCTAGAAACTCTAAATACAGCTTAATTTCCTTAAAAATGGGGTGTAGGGCCTACCCTGGTGGTGCAGCGGTTTAAAGCACAGCACTAATAATGAATTTGAATCCAGCCCACCCCAGAGGTGACCCACATGGCGAGGCAGACCTCTCCTGACCCGCCTGCTGCTCCCCTCAGCAGTGTACTTCTTCAGCCTGTTCTGCTCCCCACTCTGTCTCTGGTGAATACTCTCACCGCCCCTGCACCTCTGGCCTGTACCCCAATTCTGTATGAATAGATAAATAAATCTTAAAAAAAGGGGGGGTATAAAAATAGGCACTTTCTCTCAAAAATGAAAAAACATAAAAGCATAATTTATCCTTGCAAGAAATCACAGCTAATATTAGTTATTCAAGGCCTGGTTAGGTCTTCACTGAGATGTTAAAAGATGACAGCTCCCCTCCTCACGCCTCGATTTCCTGCATGTCTGACAACCAAGTCAGTTTGGCTGATTTAAACACAAACATTTATTGAATTTAATTATCTCATTATACTCATACCCACTCCCCACCCTCAAAGAAACAGTCTAAATTGATCTCTAATTGGGCAATCAAAAGACCTGGCTGAAGATGTGACTTTGATAAACCCCCAAATGACACGTAATGTTATGTAGCCACCGCCGCAACGCTGTTTTGCTTACCCATCATATCTTTTGTCTTCTTGAAATGTTTGTACCACCTTCCAAATTCTTGACATTTTGCTGCTGAGACATTTGCATAGTAAGTGCTGTTCACAATGGAAGAAATCATACTCTGCATGAAGAGGGGGGGAAACATTTGTAATACATAGCGGCACAAGATGGAACACAGAAATGATTTCAATTGTGAAAACTAATTTTTTTAAATCAACTGTGTACCAATACATTTTTGTTTCACACTTTAGCCTACAGCCTCGACTTCTGAAAATTCATTAAGTAGATCATCAAGTGCTTATTTAAGAAGAACGCAACAGCCCACGGAGACCAGTATAACGCTATCAAGCCCACAGACTTTGCTCTAGTACTTGTGGAATCTCCATCAATGTCATCTATTCCTAGGCTGACAAACTTGCACTTATCCCAATAAATCCAAGTACTTGAAGATGACTTTATGATCGCAATTCATAACAAACACCACATTGCGGTTTAGTGAGTACACGCGACATCCTTGCTACTAGAAGGAAGGGATCAGGGGCCAGCAGTACCGGCATCACCTGGAGCCTTATTAGAAATGCCAAATCTTGGCCCTGACCCCAGACCTAGTCTATCAGCACCTGCATTTTACCAAGGGATGGCATGCACACTGAAGTTTGGGATTCACCACTTACACTTCTCACTCACATTGTTTATGTTTCAAATGGAGGTGTGTTAACACTGCTCAAAGGTTGACTCACAACATTTAGGGAAGAAAACAACTCTAAGGTATTTCTATGGAAGATAAATATGTATTACAATCTGATTACTAACTTCATCTATAGCAAAGCTTGAGTGCTTAATTTCTCAAGGACACCACAGAACAAAAAATGACCTATTTTGCCACTTGACTTCATTCTGCTTTGAACAAAAGCCCAGAAAACTGAGTCAATGGTTTAAAAGAAAAATTAAGAAAGACAATGATTTTGACATATTATTATTAACTGTCTCCCCCCCCCCAACTCATTTTCAACAAAGCCCTGTGTTTTTCTCCCAGAAAATTTTGGTATGGTAATTTGTGTGACTTAATTCTCGATTATTTTTAACCATAGCACCTGTATCCCTTTAATAGTGGCTAAATTAACTAAATTAATTGAGTCAGGAAATAAAAGAGATTTGCAGCACAGATCCATCCCCCACTTGTACAGTGTAGAACCACGGGAGCTTACATTTCAGACTTCAGTTGATCTATGGTGAAACAGTTTACAGAAGGTGGCATTGTTTGGAAGGCAGTGAACAACCAGAAAAGCCAGTTTGGGGACAAAAGAATTTTTTAAATCATTATCTTTAAGCTACTTCCAATTGAAAACTGTTAGTGATAGATTCACTGACATCCATTATCACTGTTAATTTTGTCAAATGCACACATTCCTATAAGATGTAAATCTTGGAGACCTTTGAAGAACTTCCAGTGAAGGATGAGATGGAATCCCATTCTTTAAGTAAAACATGGTCATCCTTCGTGAAAGGCAGTGGGATAGCTTTTTTTTTTTTTTTTCTACTGTATAGTCATTTTAACATTGTATTTCTCTGAAAAGACATGCTTAATGTGTTCTTGCTGCGCTGCCATTAATCCAGTAGCTTGCAATTTTACTAAGAGCCTCCCCCTCACACCAGAGTGCAAAAAGATACTTAGCAAGGTTGCCAAAACCAGAGCCAGAAGATTACCTGAGCCAGTTAACAATCCGTCAGCTTCAATCACACTTACTCTATTGTAATAATGGATCAATAAAGTCAGACACTAATAAAACCAGTGAGATCGCTGATGGATAATGGTGATTCTGCAAATGGATGACAGTTGATGTTCTTCCGCTTTGGCCCAATTTTCAAAAAATTATTACTCATACCTAGACAATTCTGGCAGTTTCTTAAATGCTAATAATAGTGCATATAGGTTTTAAATGTCATTTATACCTTAATTTTCGAAATGTATGAAATATCTGAATTCTGGTGTGCTTTTGGATCAACACTCGGTCTACTTCTGTTGCCCTTGAGCGCCATGTAGGAAATCTGTGCTTTGCTGCATGTCTACAATGTGTGTGGCTGGCACTAGGGATACAAAGGCAGGTAAGACACAGCCTCTACCTGCAAGATTTTAGTCTCTTAGGAAGACAGATAAACATCATTTCAACTTCAAGAGAAAAAAACATATATGGGGTGGCGGGAGGAATCTATCATGCGTGAAAAAAAAAGTCTGAAATATTTTTATAAAACTCGAGCCCATATGTAATAGTGCTATGTAGTTCATTATTATCCATATGTGGAAAATAATATCCATATGTGCATGATCATCAAAGCTTCCCCTGCCCTTATTTAACCCTAAACTGGTAGGCGCTGTCCTTACATGACTTTCTACTCTGTCAAGTGGTGTATGTTTAAGGAACTCTAATAATGTGAATATGAGCCTCAGCAAGACAAATCAAAAGCGTAAACCCCAGTGCTGATGCGATCCAAAGCAGCACCTTAACAGCTTTTGTCTCTGTATGCTTTTGGTGGGGTGGGGTGGGCTGAGACATTTTCTATTCGGCTCACCTGGGGTCAACTTTATCTTTATTGGAACAATATGCAGTAATCTGTACAACCAAATTGCTCGTGTAACCACTGCATGAGGCTTTTTCCTTGCAGTCAAATCCCTGTTCAAGGCTCAGTCCTGACATCTGAACTGACTAGTTAAGAGATTTCAGAATCTTGTGGGACACAAGGCATTTGAAAGGTCATGTTCACACTGTAATCTTCAATGTGAAAAATCAAAAAGCAACACCTATTGTTTTGACAATACAAGTAACAGAAAGTCAAGACAGGGAATATTTTCCTAAGTAGAGGCTATATATGGAGGGCAGACTAAGTTCCATATTTCAAAGCAGGCTTAAGGTCCCTGTATGATGGTGGTTGGAAACAGGTTACACTCAGCTGTGAGTTCATGCACTCACTACGTACTTTTCAGCCCAAGCGCCTGACAGATATTAAGCACATATTAAATGTTCACCTGAACAAAAGCTGGCTAAATTAGCATTCAGGGCTGAGATACCTCACACTGATAGTGTGACCTCGGTCAAACTAACTGACCCCTCTGTCACAACTCCCCATGTTAAGTGGGAACGACAGGGCTCAGCACCTGGGGTGGTTTGGAGAATCTATTCAGTCCAGAAGCCTTTCCCACTGATTCAGCATATGCTATTGAACACCTATAGCATGGTAAAGCACGGGGCGAGTCGCGGGGAAAACAATGAGTTGAAGAGACGTCTATCTACCCTCGGAGAGGCAATAAATACAATAATGAATGTGATGCAATTAGCACAAAGCCTGGGACATACCAAGGATGGAATGAAGAGATGTTAATTACAGTGACAACCTCTGCCTCCTCCTCGTCATTGGACTTTTATTATATGATCACATTTAGAGCAGCCGAAAAAAAAAAAAAAACTTTTAAATCACAGATGAGAGCATCAGGAAGAATTTTCAAACGCCATGATTTAAGTCAAATTTCCCCTCCGAGTATACCAATCAAATCACAAACTACAGGCCAGCTCAAGGGATAGTAAAGGGAGAACAGGAGTATTCACATCTGTTTCAATATTCCACTCTGATGGCAGCTGCTGAAGCTGGCCTGTACCTGGTCACTGACATCAGAGGACATGCCGCTTCTCTGACTTGAGGTTCAGCTCACACTGTCTCCCCTCTCCAACTAACAGCTGCTCCTCCTTCAGTCTACATTTCAGGTATCTCTGCTTCTGCAAGGCTCCTCCTGACTTCCCAAACATGCTGTACACAGCAGGACTAAAGCACCTGCCACACTGTTTGTTTTCTACTAGACTGCTAGCCTGAGTCATCTCTAGATAACCTGACTTGTCACAGGGCTGGGTGCATATTAGGTGATCAGGAAAGGTCATGGGAATGAGCCATCACTCCAGGTGACTGGAAAATCCTTTTTTTTTCCCAGTCAAAGGTAGTGGCAAAGGTCAAAGATAGTGGCAGCTCTCTTATTATAAGAATCTTAAATCCATCACTTTTAGCTGTCACTATAGAACTCCTCATCTGAAGAACCTTTGTTCATTAATTTGCAAGAGATCCCTTCCCAGGTTTTTCAAATACATCCACACAGATGTCTCGGAAGTCGCAGAGCTGGTTATGTTATTCCAGTTCTCTCTCAGAGTCTATTTATACAAGCTCTCCAAAGCACTTTGAAAAAGACACAACTTACATGGCAAGTTTTCCTATTCAGTGGCCGGTCTGTGTAAAACATCAATGTTCAGGGAATAAAATAATCAGGCTGATAACACTCAGCTTTAATCCCAAGTTCAAATGTTACATTGTACACAGACCAATGAACAGACCGCAGCTTTCGGAGCTGGGAACCAGAATCTGAAAGTCGGCAGAAATTGGCTGTGGGTCTCATAACCCCGGTGTGACACAATATTCTCATCCTAGGAGCCAAGTTGTAAGCTTTTCTAAGACCCATAAAGCACATGTCTACTCCCTATGAGGAGCTTCAGTTCTTTCTGAGAGTCTGCTGAAGTTCCGATCTGAACGAATGCCATCTTCACAGAAACCCCAGTACTCTAGAATGATGCCATCTGCCACAGGCTGGGCTTCCTTTTCAGCCAAATACATTATTTATAACCTTTCTAATTGTGAAAAGGTAAGGGTGGAATTTTTCTAAAGCCAGACTTAGATATAGTTAGAACATTCTGAACCTTTACTCTGAAAGACTGCAGGTCGCTGCACTGAAACACACACACACACACACACACACACACACACACAAACAGAACCCCCACAAGAATTGGTGGAGGTTATATAATTTTGCAAAATATCACATTCTTCAAATATGCTGCTAGAATATGACATACACTAGAGGTACACATTTAGGAACTGACGGAGGGTCGCTTTATTTTCTACTTGGTCAGCTCAGGAGCCAAGAAAGGCTTGGGGAGAGGTGAGGCCTTCTAAAAAGAGGGGGGGACTCATGAACCAGGGCAGAGGCAGTGATCTGATTACCCTTAAAATTACTTTGTTGTGCCTTTAACAACAACAACAACAACAACAAAAAACCCACCCCAAAACAATGCTAATCAGGTTATT